GCACATTATATTGTGAATGTGTTAATGGGGTGCATTTATAGAATCATTTATCATCATACATTTCTAAAAAGATTTTAGATTTTTTGTTGTCACAATAAATTCCAGTGTTGATTATTTTTACAATTTTTCCAGTTTTTGTACAGTATCAATAAATATCAATAAATCAGAAAATATGACTGATTCACTGTCAAAAGTGAAAAAAACACTTGAAATTTTAATGATACTTACCCAGTTGGACATAGTCTCACAGTGGCAGATGCTAATGCATTACACTAATGACATTGCCCAAAAACGTTAATCATCATAATAGCTACAAATAATGTTGCAATCGTACAATTTTCTAATATTATTCAGTTAGTGCTGAAACAATTCCTCGAATGATTCGAGTACATCCATTATTAAAATTCCTCAAGGTAAATTAATCTGCCTAGAAGTTTTGTTAAATTATGTTTTATTATCTAGCGCACAATTTTCTGACCAGGACATTGTTTTGCGCAGCGCTCTCACTTCCACATATGACTTCTTGACGAAAGCTAAGTGTTAACAGCATAACGTCCAACTTTCAAGTTTGGCCCATGGGGATTTTATTGATTGAAGCTAATGCCTGGGATTTCATCATTTTTGGGGGATCAAGAATCATCCTTAAAATGACTGCCGTGATGCCTGGAGTGTGGGAGCTTTTCTTTTCCGGTAGCTGGTGGTTCAAACTGAACAGCGGGAAGAATGCTGCAGGAGTATTTATAGAGGTGAGCGGATAGACTGAACACGGTGGGAGGCTGCACTGTAGTTGATGCTTATAGTGTAAGTGTATTTTTACAGATGAACTGGAAATTAATTTCATATCATCCTGGTCTCAACAATGTGTGGCGGAGCACATTGCAACGTTACATAGTTGGTTGATGAGTTTCTCTGCATGATGAACAAAGGTGAGAAAGCCTGTCACTAACATGAACACAAAAGCTATAAATGGCTGGGCAAAGAGAGAGTTCATCTATTAGACTGACTGAAGATGAATACAAAAACTAAGATATGGACCACAGACATTTTTTATAGTGTATTTGTGAGCCTGCCTCCATATTATTAACTTGAATATCATTTCAGATTCTTGTATAACTTTTTTTCAGGTTAACTTAGAAAGTGAGCTATTATTGGTTCAGGTTAATTTTCTAAACTACAGAAAAGTAACTGTTAGGGATGCTCAAATATGAAAAATTGGACTTATGGTGACATTCAACAGTAACACTGGTGTAATGCAAGATTTACCAATATTTTATTTTATAATATTTTTTATCAGATTACTTGATTAATCATAAAAATAATCAATACATTACTTGATTACAAAAATATTTGTTTACAACAGCCCTACATTTAATCCTACACAACACACACGAAGAATGTAGGACAGTTTTTCTTCCTAATGTACAAAAGCAACTAAGATAAACATTTTACTTAACTCGTAGTAGCATCATTAGCTAAAAATAAGAAAAAAATAGCTTAATTTTTAACTGTCAAACTCGATTTCTACTCAATAGTTGGAATTTCTGAGGTCAAAATCAAAAAACATGTCAGAATACACAATGAATTTCAAAGTCGAACCACATTTAATATCTGAGACATCTGCCACTTGTTTCAAACCCATGAATATTCAATGAACAGTTTTGACCGTTTGTGTCTCATTAAATGAGAGGCAAACATATTATTTATGAACATGCTTTTTTTGGTGTTGCACTATCAATAATGGATATAAATGAACTTCTTTCCTTTTATGGTGATAACAGTCACCACAAAAGGAGTTTTGGCATGTGAATTAGTCAAAACTAACTGTTTTCTGGCATGTGCTCTTTCTAAAACAGTGAAAAACTAATTTCTCAGCTGAGTTAATATGTCATAACAAATCTATAGCACACCTTTCTCTCCGCCTACACGCTGATATGTAAAACCCACCTCGTAACGGATTCACTCCATTTAGCATGTTCCAGATCCGTGGCAGTGTGAGTGACTGGAAGGCTAGCGCACATGATGCATGAAGAGTCAAAATATTCCCGAAGACGTATGATTAATGAGATGCAGATGTAACTACAGGTGATAGGAATTCATCTGTGAGATCACAGAGGAGAGATAAGGCTGAAAGGGGCCGGCAGAGCTAATTCAACATGTGTTATTCGGTTTCACAAATTGTGCAGCAAACAACAGAGTTGTTTGATTTGATCCAGTGAAAACCTTTGTGGGAGGAAAAATGCTTTTAGACAAACCGTGCTGTCAAATATTGTTTGCTCTCATTCCAGCCTCCATTTTGTCCTTCCTCTTTAACGTGACCTCTGAAACAACTTCGGGGTCTTTTATGGATATTCAAGTTATGCCTAAAGTGTTAATTTCCTATTTATGTAATAATGACAAAACAAGAGAGATGGACATAAAGTGTGTCTCAGCAGCAGGACCGATCTGCCTCTGTACTGTAAACCATAGCTATGTATTAATAAAAGCCCAGTGAGCATCATTATATCACTGTGAGCGATTTCAACATTTGCTCGCCTCGGTGCTTCTGATGCGCAATTTGCCAGTCTACTGGAACACATCTGGCTTGGACCGCATCCATCCAGTGAGCAAATGAAGCCAAGAAGCTAAACAAATGAAGAACACAACCATAAAAAGGAGGGATCCAACATATAAATATCGAAGGTGATGTAAAATGAAATGGAACATTTCGAAAACATTCATGCAAGTGGTCAGCTGTTGGTGGAAATTCCTTCCCCTCTCAGCTAGAGTTCCTAACTGAGCCCAGATCACATTCTGACCACTCCTCTCAGCTGTTCAGAGCAAAAGCAGCCATCAAACACGGTTCAACAGTCGGTAACATTTGCATCTTATATAATCTAAATCATAAGAACCCTTTTCAAACTGTTTCTGTTTTATTTTTAGATATAAAGTGATAAAATCTAGATTTCTTATCTCAGGTTTTGCTAACTAGCTACGAGTAGCTCCTCCTCTTGTGAAAAATTTCACTCAATAGACAAAAGTCTGTGCAGCATAGCAATGTTGGTTGACAGGTGATTGATACCTACATGTGGCAGAAGGGTGGTTTGGGTTGAGGAAATGGGTTGACCAGACTTTTAACGTCATTGTTTGGGTGAAATTCGGATGGGACTTATTGGCTAAATAAAAGCTCAGGTTACATTGTATGGGCTAAATAAAAGACAAGGTCTGGCCAAACTGAAATATGGCTAATGTTTAGAGATCAACATCTTATCTGGAGTAGATAACTCTTGGCGTCTTTATTTAGTATAAACAAAGTTTAGTGAAAGATCTGGAGGTGCCAAGACCAAAACAGACTTCCACCATTTAGACTACAATCTTCAAAATTTCATGTTATCTTATTGATTATTACACCCCCTTCAATATGCAAGACAATGACACTGAGTAGAAATTCTGAAATGATCCATTCTCTAAACATGTTTCACAGGGAAGATTATTGGTGGTGCACTGCCTCCAACGGTTGTTTCCTGTTAAGATAATCATCAGTTACTGTGTAAATGACCCCTAAACGTTCAAGAAATAACATCTGATGATATTCTGGGCTACTTTCTGTCATTTTCAATGATTTAAGTACATGACCTGGAACTCCTCCCACCCCACTGTGCTGGACACTGTTCATCAGCTGACTGAAAGACTTCGAGTACACTTTTCTCTGTCATCAGACAAATTACCTGGCAATACAAAATATCTGGAAATATTTCTGATCACAGAACATCAAAGTTTCAGGTGTAGAAAGTGAAGGTGGGGCTGTTCACTCAGTTTAAAAATTACAACTAGCATAGCAACCAGTGCAGTAGTAATTCATCAAAAGATTCAACGACTCCAACTTTTAACATTTTTCAGTGCATATTATTTGCCTCAAGGCTTCGTTAAGTTATGCTTTACTATTTAATTCACCGTATTCCGGCCAGCCAATTGTTTGTATTGTACAACGTTCCACTTTCACTGAAGAGACAAACTTTTGACATTACAAAATAGATGTTGGCAAAACATTTTCCATCACAGTTTGAATGAGTTTGACTTATGTTGCACTAAATAACTCATTTCAGACCTCAGCATGTCTTTTCAAATTAAAAGACATGCTAAAGCAAAATTTTCTTTTTTGCTGTTAAAAGCTTTCATAAAAAAAAGTTTTTAGAGGTCAACTAGGGAAAATTTTTTACATTTTTTATTTTTACAACAAGCATGAAACAAAATTGATTTTTTTAAAAAATCAATTTTGGTGAATATGTGCAGGTAAAAATTTTGTAGCACTGTTTGACACCAAATCTGTTTGATTTTGTAAATGTGGGGTGGCTGGTTGACCTTTGATGACCTCGAGAAACATTTATCAATATCTTCAAAATGACTGCAGCACCCAAAGCAATTGGTACACAAAAGTTTGACACAAATTCTATTAAATTTGAAGAAAGTTTTTGGGGAGGAGGGGAAACCCAACCAACAAACTCAAGACCCTCAAAAATCACATTTTTCAGATTTTTATTGACCCCTCATAAAAAATAATACTATGAAACTTGTTGTTGCAATGTAGTACTGCCTCAGTAGTGGAACCCAGCTCTTGTATATAGAATTGGAGTAAATATTTGACCCTTCCCCCATCTCACCCCCACAGGGGCTCTGCAGCAGGCACAGCTGACACCGGACAGACAAGGAAAAAGTTCTGAAAACTGGACTGATCCGAACCATCTTCCATTCTCAGCAGAGATGGAGATCGACTTAAAGACAGGGAGATCCAACAATAATAACAACAAAAGTTGTTTTTTTTTGTTGATTTATTTTTAAGTGACAGCGTGCAGAAAAAGATTTTACAGGGTGGTGATGTTTTTGCCTGCTAAATGTCAGAGTTGAGAGAGAGTGTTTCCTGAGAACTTTATGAGTTTAATAATAATAATCATTTATTATTATTATTATCATTATTATTATTAAGGATGGAACAGAGGTAGCACTCTCAGGGCAGAAACTTTTACCTTGCATGAGAAAGCCACGGTCTTGGTGAGCGAGTCGATTCTCTCGCTGTACTCGGTGAATTTCTTCTGGTACTTGAGCGCCGTCATCTGCAGCTCGCTGTGCACAGCCGACAGCTGGGCCAGCAGCGCCTTCTCCCTCTGGTTGGCCCTGATCGCCTCCTTCTTCAGCTCCCTGTCCAGGACCAGCAGCCTGCACTGCAGCGCGCCGTTCTGCGCCTTCAGGGCTCTCACGCAGCAGTGGCCGTTTGACCTCTGCTCCCGTTGCGTGAGCGTTAGCCCGCAGCCCCCCTCGCAGATCCCCGCCGCCCGATGCTCGCACGCCTCCCGCATGTGCGCTTCCAGGTCCCGAGCACTCACCACTTCCTCGCAGCCTATGTTGCCGCACTTGACCGGGGAGAAGTCGCACGTCTCGGCGTGCTCGGCCAGATGCTGCAGCGTCACCACAGCGTCGCAGCCCCGGGCGTGATTGTCGCATTTGATCTCCAGCTTCAGGATGAGATTCTTCAGAGGCAGGACGTGGTTGAGCTCCTTGGCGGAGATGCGCTGGCACTTGACGGGGCAGCTGCTCTGCTGGACGACCCAGGGCAGCACACAGCCGGAGCAAAAGACGTGGCCGCACGGAGTCGTCAGTGGATCCTCCAGGACTTTGTTGCACAAGTTGCATTTGAAGTCCGGGTCCACGGTCCCCTTGAAGCGGTCCAGCTCGAATCCCATTGCGCCGTTTGTCCCCCCCTCCCACCCCAAAACCCCCAAAATCCAGAAGTCAAACTCGCGGGCTCCCCAACCCTCGGCAGGTCTTGTGTCGGAGGAGCAGCGGGGCTTTCAGTGGCTCCTCCGTAGAGCAACTTACCAACTCTGTTCGTTCACAGACCAAAACTCTGCTAATTGAGTGGGACTTTTTGTTGCGTTTACGTGTGCCTCGGAAATAAGAATGAAATTGGGGAAAAGTTTTTGTATAAAACAACAAACAAAAAAAAAACAGCGCTCTCGTTACTTTATTAAACAGAAACACATGTTTCTGTTTAATAACAGTGTGGACGAACAGATACAATTTTAAGATAAATCGTTTTATTTTTAACTCAAAACTTCGCTCGTTCAGAAGAGATTAGCAAGAAAAAGTTGTTTTAAGTCAGTTTCATTGGAGTCTGAAAGAATTTTCATGACGGTATGCGATTAAAAAAGCATTCAAGTCAGGCTCTGTTAGCCTTAAGACTTCAGCGATTAACAACCAAAGTTCATACAGACCTCAAAGGCAACACTGATCAGGGCGAGAGTGTGTAAAAACTTTGTACCGTAATAACCCAAGTAAAAACGCACGTTGAGTGGAGGGGGGATAATGATCTCTCAATGAAACATCACTGGATATGAAATCATAAGCACCTGTTAACCCTTTAAATATATATATTCTGTTAATTTAGAAAAGAAAAGAATAAACTTGGGTTTCACATTTTGCATCATAAATACCCAAGTAATTATCAAAGGCAAAATAAATAAATGAATATATACTGTAGTTTTAAGCACTACAAAAAAGCTGAAGTTATGGGCTGTTTACAAAAACAGGAAAGTGGATCAAGTGAATATCCTGGTTTGTAAGCCTCAATTCGATCTTACAAAAGTGATTAAACATGTTACCATGGTATGTTACCAAGCAAGCCTGCTGCAGAGGGCTAGCTTATGGCTTCATAAGTAATTAGCCATTATGCCATTTTATAGCATAGTCAAAAAAAACTATGTTATCTTTAGTTACTCTAAAATATCTATATTTATCAATAATGATATAAAAGAAAATGTTCTTGATTTAACATCGTCTGGAATTTAATTCAAATTCAGAATACTTTATTGATCCCAAAGCGAAACAAATTAAAAATTGGGCCTCTTGTATCTTTAAGAAACTCCTGTTTTTTTCTGAAACAAAATGGCTCCTCTATTAACCCTTTAGCAACATTTTTACCAGCGTTGCTCTGAGAAGTGGCTCTTATAAAGAGCTCAGCATGATGCACAGGTCCATCAGGTGTTTGCTAATTGCTGCTTGGTAGTCTGAAGGACCTAAATGGGAGAGTCGCAGGGGAGGGATGCTCTGTGAGGTGGAAGCTCAGGGGAAATCAAGCAATCTTGGAAAGAGATTAAAAGAAGAAGAGGAACATGAAAGGTAAGACTATTGTTCCAGCAGACCTTGAGCGAAGAGCAGATCGCGTAAGACTCAGGAACATCAGCAGGAATTACAGCGTGCAGCATTAAAACAAATGTTTGGGGGAATTATGTGTGAACACACCTGTCTCCATGCTCCTTACGCACAGAAACCACTCTGTGATGCTTTTTTAACAACCGCACATGAGAATGTATTCATCTTAGCAGGAGAGGAAGACAGTGTTTGAAACTCCATTGGATCTGCTGCTTTGTGCTCAGTGAAGGAAAAGAATAGCTGCTCAAACAGAAAACACAAAGCCTGTGTTGGTGCTGACCCCGACCTCGTGCACCACACCCCCTCAGCCCACCATTCGTACTGGTTACCTCCTCTTTCAGAAATGCACTCATCTGCAATGCCATGCTCAATAAAACTTTCCGTGTGTGTATTATCTGAAACTACAAACATAAGGCTTATAAAACACTTCATAGAGAAAGTGCACTTAGAGGAGTGTGACCTTGTTGGAGTGGGTACTGGTGTCATCGGGTGGGATAAAGAATCCACACTGGTCTCTTAAAAGGACCGACAGTATTATGCATTTTTCAGGCATATAGTGATATTATATAGCACAATGAAGTAACTATGTCCCCTTTTGTTATAAAACTGCTATACATAACTTAAAACAAATTTGACTTTGTAATTTATTGCCTTGAAATTGGGCCACTGTCTCTTTAAAAACTCCTCCTCTTTCTGGAACTCCAGCATCAGGCAGTCATTACTGATGGTGGAAGGGGATAAAACCCTTTAACATTTTTACCTGAGAAGCAGCTCCTAAAACAAGCTCATCAGATGTACAATTTCACCAAATGTTGATGGCTAGTCTGAAGGAGCTGAGTGGGGGAAAAGAGAGATTGCTCTTTAATGCAGAACCTTGGAAACTGCAGCTCCAAGGAGGAGTTATGACCTCAAAAGAGATGAGTCCAGTCATTTTGCACAACTAAATGGTCACCATGGACATTAAAGAATTTCTCAGACATGCATGAATGAATCAAAGCAATATTATAACATGACGTGAGGTTCAAAAAAGTCAATTTTATATCATAATTCCCTTTTAACACATGAACAGGACCTAAGTATTTACACGGTTTAAAAATTAACATTCTGTCTCTCTGTAAACTTTAATACATTGAATTCATTTCATGTGTTGGATTAACACAAAGTAGTGTATGTGGGAGGAAACTAACTTTGTTTCAAAACAAAGTTAAAAAATCGGACAGAGATGTATACATTTTAGTGCTGGGACTTTAACTTGTTAATTCCAATTACTTAATTACATAAAATTTAACTTATTTAAAAATCAAAACAATTAGTCATTTAAAAAAAAAGTTTGTGTTTCTGGTACGCACATAAATATGATGCACAAGCTACATCCAAACTCACCTCAGCATGCTGGGAACTTGAAACTGATGACTGGATTTTTATGTTTGATTAATTTGACTAACAATACTTAGGTTTGGGACTTTTAACTTGTTAATTTTGTTGAATAAATTACATAGATTTTAACAAGTTGATGATTTCAGCACAAATTCCATTTTTGTTTCAAAAAGTCATCTGGAGAATGCTGAAAAAGACTTTAAGCAGCAAAAAGACTTCTTGATTTTAAAATGTTGCTCATTTCAAAATCAAATGAGCAACATTTGATTTGAATGTTACTACTGTTGCTATATCTTAGTATAGTATTAGTATAGAAACAACTATAGAAACTACTGTATAGTTTTTCTTTTATTATTTAATAACAAAACCTACAATTAACTTGATTTAGAGTTTTTGTTAGAGAACATTAAAGATTTAATGGCCTCATGAAGTCCAAGGAACAGAATCACTTAAGTCATGCGCTACATATATACTGTATATCTTTACAATATCTTAAGTTAACATAATTACTAGGGGCAGGGCTAGCCTGGAAAATGGCTAGCCCTGCCCCTTTTAAAGGTTAGGCGAAAACTCTCTTTCATGATGCTTCTTATAATCTATAGATGATACTTTGTTATTTGTCAGCTCTGAACTTAAGCTTGCTATCAGATCTCTCCTTTTGTTCTGGACACAGCAGAGTCCTGTGCAGGAATATCATCATTTGAAGCACCACAGAACCAATTCAGGATCCTTCCAGCTACACTCAGCCTCTCGACCTCTGAACCAACCAGCCACCTTTGATTTATTACTTCAGTTTGGCAACAAACAGCCTGCCTGTCTGCGTATGGCTGTTTACTGTGAGCTGGAGCTGTTTGGTCTTATTCAGATCTGGGAATATTTGCTCCCAAAGTGGAAACAGAATAAATAAACAGTTGTTTTTTATATATATATGTTGTGCTGGAGACAGAAGTTTTGAAAGTTTCTTGACATATTATGTTGTAGAAACTGACATGTACAGCACAGGGCTGCCCAAGGAATGTTTTATGAACTCCAAGAGGCAGCAGGGGCAAACCCTTAAACAAGTCCATAGTGGGTCTGGCCAAAAGACAGATCAGGTCCCAACGGAGATAATTGTTAATCCAAACTCCTCCAAACCTAACAGTGAGTGAACGATCAGGACAGACTGAATTTAAAGACTCCAACCTGATGTGGAACCTTGAAGAAAGAAATGCAATCTTATATCTCCTTGCTTAAAAACTCTGAAGGAGATCTGATCACGTCTGCTTTTTTGGACTTACTTTCCACATATGTACAGTGTACTATAGTGCAACTTATCACTACCTGCTTCATCAGCTGAAGCAGAAAATGTATCACTAATGGTAACCGGAAATGTAATGACATGAATTATCATATTAGCAAGACCTGACCCATACCAAGCCAGTCACAGTGTTTAAATATTTATTATATGTAAATAAAAAAAAATATCTGAAATGTTTGCTGTGCCTGCATGTTCTACCTCAATTAACACTTAATTAGGAAACAGGGCACAGTATGATACCAGTGCAATCCTACCAAGACATGGTGGTCCACCTAAACTGACAGGCTGGTAAATTTTAGACTTACAAATCTTAATTAAATATTAGACTGAAAAACTATAAAATAATATTGGGGAATGATGGGAGATTCTGCTGTACAACAATCAAGCATAAATTAAACTTGATCTGTCTGTGGCAGACTGGTGTTCCCCGTACTTCACATGGGGAATGAATGTTCTTCATATGGAGTTTAGGCTGTCAGATTACAACCTTAACCCTGTATTGCCAGCTTCAAAGTTTTTTATTTCTGCACTTTGCTTCATATGGGTTGCCAACAGAGATGAGTCAAAAACATGACTAACACAAAATGTTAGTCATGCAAGGGAAATTTAGCAGCTAATTAGCTGTAGCTTCAACTGTCTCAAGTCAGAGAATGCAATGAAGATGTGTGAGGGTCTGTCAAATGTCTGCCAGGCAGAAAAGTTCCACAGATAAAAACAATATTTATGTTTGGATATCATTTTATAATCTTAACCCGCATTAAACCATCTGACACTTTCTGTCTGACCATCACTATGCTTGTGGCTGAGGCCACTTGGACTGAAGCAAGTTCACTGGAGGTTTTTTCTTGTTAAATGGTATCTGAAGGTGTCAGTAAGTCCAATTTAAGATTTTATGACTTTTATAATGCTATCTTGAATGAAATTTTAGACCAATAAAATTATAAATATAGAGGATGGTTGGGCA